GAAGGAAGGAAGGAAGGAAGGAAGGAAGGAAGGAAATGAATATTGATTTCAATAGTCAGTGTGACATGAAACTAACTAGATCCAGTGGGCTGTTTACATGTCCCTAAGAGACTGACCAGACTAAAGATGGTGCTATTGCCGGTTTGGTCAAATATAGCTCTAGTCCCTGGGCATTTTCTGTTTGGGGCGCGTGTGGCCTTTGACCCTTTGGCTGTTTAACTCTGAAACCCCTGCATCAGATTGAGCCGCCTGCTCTTCTATCAATCCGGGAAGAGGTCAGGAAGGAGGGTTGATCTTGCTGGCAGCGGCAAACCTAGCTGGGGAGTACTTGGGAGGAATGCAGTTGGTGGGCCCTTTACTTTCTCATGGCTGTTCTCCTCGGTTCCAATGCTTTCCTCGCTAGAACAAAAGTGACTTTGTTGTGACTCTCATCCTCCTTACATTTCCAAGGAGTCAGAGAGCAACTGAGTCAGAGTCTGCAGGCTTCTTAATCTGGCAGGTAGCCGGGCTTTTGTAAGTGAAGCTGGCCTTCTATGAATCAGTTCTGGGCATGTGGGAGCGTCTACAGATGGGATCATGGAATGTGTGGATATTGGAACAGAGGAAAGGAATAAATAAATGTGTGTGCACAAATGGAGCGAAGTAGTGGCTGTGCACGGTGGAAAGGAAGCAAATAGCATTGTGAATCCAGTGGGCCTAGATAATATTTGAAGAGCATCCAGGAATGTGAGTAGATGGTGCAAAAAGAAGTGCGTGTGTTGGTGTGTTCTTGAATGGAAGAAGAAACCGTATTTGTGGAAGTATGTGTGTGTGTGTGTCCACATAAATGTACACATGTATGTTGAATTTGTATATTTCTGTGTATGCATCAGTGTTTAAAGCAAAGGGTGCTGAAACTGGAACTTCCATGGAAAATATGTTCATAAACGTCTTACCCTGCATCCCACTTGTAAGGTGATTGAAAAGAACTTTGTGTGTGCTCAGAGTTCATCACTTTTACGTTGACTGCACATATCTCACTGTTGGGCTCTGGCATTGGAAGCAGGTCCCGAGGATGAAGCTCTTGAGGACCCTAGCTCAGACTGTCCCCACGTTTGTATGAATGACGGGGGCCAAGTCATATTCTCATGGGAGAAGACAGCATGAGGACAAATGTGACTCGTGTATGATGGCATGTTTGTATGCACAGGCTTTCTTTCCCAGGGAAAAAAATCTACTGTCTGTTAGAAAAGCAGAGCTTGGAGAATTTTTAATAGAGCCTATCCCCTTTTTTTAGATGTGCAGGCTTTGATGGGCCATGTTTGTTAAGCCCATTATAACCGTGACGTAACTTCTTTCATTTGATTTTGCTGTGTAATTGGAGACCTTTCTTTACCCACCCTCCGTCTTGGCAGCCACATTGCAACACTGTGTTGGAGAGATCAGCCTTGGCAACTGGCTGGGACAGTTTCTTGATGCAGACTTATAGCTGGCCTTCTACCCTTAGAGTCCCTTGGTAAAACTATTTTTTCAAACTACAACTACTCCCAAAACCAATGCCCCAACACATTCAAATCATGAATTTTTAGTAATTTTTAAAATTTGTCTGTTTGTTTGACCCTCCTTGTGAGCACGTAACTCAGACATACTTCATCAAACTTGCAGTGCTTATAGAGGAAAGTCAGGGGGAGAAGATGCCCTGTGAATTTGATGTCTCTAGGAGCTTTATGGGGTTTTAAAATCAAAACTGAATTTATAAATTGATTCATTGGGGGGGGAGAATCATGAATTTGTAATTTGTGATTCGTTGACCTTGACAAATCACAAATAAAAAAGAATCACCATTATTTTGATTCAGGCCCATCTGTATAGGAGACCCAGCGGGAAATCAAGCTCCTGGCCTCGGCCGCCAAGTACCCAGCTAGATGAGCCCATTCAGCATTAAATGCTCCAGATAATTAAACTTCAACTCCCAATTCCTTTATCTTCCTTCATGGGGGGGGGCTGATGAAAGTTGTGGGCCAACACCTCTGCAAGGCCAAAGATACGTACCCCATCCTTGAAACAGATTCTGTTAGGAGTTCATTTGTGATGCACAGGAGTGGACTTCCATTCCTCAGACAACCAGTTTCTGTGAGAGCTCAGCGACCTATGCACCGGAAGCCATGCTTCCTGGTTGTTGTTGTTGTTTTTTGTCCCTTCCTGCTACAGGAATAGAGTTGCACCTGTGCAGAGATGGAAGGAATGGGAAAAGTTTGCCTCCTATGGCTGCACATAGGAGGAGGCAAGCTGGAAAATGGAGGCAAGCTGAAAAAGTCTTCTATTCTGGCCCTGAGCAGTGCTTGACTCTTATCTCTCCTTCCCAAAGCAAGAATGAAATAGAAATCCCTGCTATGCAGCCAGCCTCAGGGAAGAGGGCACTTAAGGTTTAATTCTTTGTGACTTTTATTAGGACTACACAGAAGCTGCTCCTTGTATTAGTTTTCAGCCTGAAGCTCTGGAACAGTACTGTTCTGGTGGCTGGGAGCCTACGCTGATCACCACATGTTCACGACAGTATGGCAGTGAGTCATGTTTGGTTTTATTTTTAGATATATTTATTTCTTTTTTTTAAAAAAAATCCTGCCAGTGAAGGTTTTCTTGGCTAAGAAAGGGGCGGCTGCAAGAATGTTGTGATGCTTTTCTGGTTTTTAATGAAGTGACACACAATGTCTTTTTTAAAACAACAACAACAAATAAATAAATAGATCCACCCCATTGAAAAACAGACAAAATAGTGGCTTTTGATCACAGGTGCACACGTTGCCTTTTTGTTTCTCACGTCTGTCTTTGAATCTCTCGTTGCCAGTCAACTTTTCATTACTGGGCATGTCTGAACCTTTTAACATAAAGTGGAACACTTATAAAATCTTAGGTTGGCTGAGGTTTGCATTCTTGACCCAGGATGCTTGTAGTGTTGCAAGAGGCAAAGATCTGGATATGGCCAGTGTGCCTTGGCCTTCGGTACTAATGGACCAATTCTGCACTCTCTAACTTGAGGCACTTGGCTGGGAAGCTTCCCCTAGATCAGTGGTTCCCAACCTTGGGTAACTCATGTGTTCTTATACTGCAACTCCCAGAAAACTCAGCCAGCACATATGGTGGTAAAAGCTTTTGGGAATTAGAGTCCAAGAATACCTGGGTTATCCAGGGTTGAGAACCGCTGCCCTAGACCACCAACCCTTCCTGTGGCATAGGGAGTGAGGGAGACATGTGTTGCCTAGCAGCTTTTAGGTAAGTTGGGAAGAAGAGAGTAAGAGCCTATAGAGATATGAAAAGTCTATCTTTTCTTCAGCACAGCCATTTTGTCTCTGCCACCCTCATTCTCATCATGCTTTCTCCTGCTACCTGCTAAGGAGCAGCCTTTTGGGGTCAGGCTGCTTCCACCTCAGGAGAGAATGGTACCAAGAGGCACTGGAGGCAACAGCAGACATCTGGGCTTGCTCTAGCAAAAGGTCCCCTGTTGCCCTCACACCTACGTTGGCAGGTCCTGCTATGTATGCTCCAGACTGGACTTGCTTAAGGGAGAATTCAGAATGCCCCAACCTAGTGGGTCCCTGGGGTTTTGTTGGCAACTGGAAGGGCAGCACCTATGGGGTTTTCAGCTGAGAGACCTGTGATGGGCATCTTTATTGGCCTTATCCAAGTGCCTCAGGATACAAATAAGCTAACCCTGTATATGGCAGTCGACAGGAGAGAATGAGACCATAGATCCCTTTTTTAGTCTCTCTATTGCTGGGGAACTTACTGGCTTGCTGCTTAGCTGCCATCTTTGCTACTCCTTTTTCTTCCCACCTGCTTCCAATAAAGTCCCCAAGATGGATAGAGTCAGCCTCGGGGGCCAGCTGCACAATACATTGTTTCATGAATATGGATTAGTCGGAGGAAGAGGAAGAGGAAGAGGTAGTTAATGGAGTAGCTTTGGCTTATATCAGCTTCTACTTCAGCGCTCTTCCTTTTTTAAATATCTCCAGCACTCAGACAGGAGAGCTTGTAACCACTGAAAAATGGTACCTTTTCCTGGATCTCTGAAGAGTATGGGCACCTTGTTTCTAACCGGTCTGAATCGTGGTCTAAAATTGCATTTTGCCACATGATGCTTTTTAGCTGATACATCTTTCTCACATTGACACACATGCAGCTGAAAGAGAATTATGAAAGCCAATCTTCATGTGATATATGAAGGTTCACGTCAGTTTTTGCATGAAGACCTAGAAGGCCACTGCCTTAGTACAGAATTTTATTCCTGGACATGATGTTTTTGATTAAAATTCTGGGCATTAGGCAAGTCAGTAAAATTCTCATGGTGTCCAGACCAGTCTTGAAAGCTTGCCAGTTCTATAATCCCATCCCCTCGTCAGCACATTACAGCCTGTGAACTGCAACCAATCTGCTTGTTGACCATCCTGTTTCCTGCTCTTTCCTTCAAGGAGGAAAGCATTTCTAAATTGCTTTTTTAGATGGCAGCTCCTGGAATCTCCTGCTTGCCCAGCTGGTGGGGGGATTTTCACAGTCCAAGAAAACAACTTCTTCTGGCCTCTGCCCAAGAGTTATTATGCAGAAGTCTTTGGGGAGAGGGACGTGGTGGCGCTGCAGGCTAAACCGCAGAAGCCTTTGTGTGCTGCAGGGTCAGAAGACCAAGCAGTCGTGAGATCAAATCCACGCGACGGAGTGAGCTCCTGTCGCTTGTCCCAGCTCCCGCCAACCTAGCGGTTCGAAAGCATGCAAATACAAGTAGATCAATAGGGACCACTGCGGTGGGAAGGTAACAGCGTTCCGTGTCTAAGTCGCACTGGCCATGTGACCACGGAAGACTGTCTTCGGACAAAAACGCTGGCTCTATGGCTTGGAAACAGGGATGAGCACCGCCCCCTAGAGTCGAACACGACTGGACAAAAATTGTCAAGGGGAACCTTTACCTTTACCTTTACCTTTGGGGATATTCCAACCTCACCTAACTCTTCCACTGGTTTTCTCCTCAGAGCTCCATGAACCTCCCTCCTGACAAGGCCCGTCTCCTGCGGCAGTATGACAATGAGAAGAAATGGGACCTCATTTGTGACCAGGTGAGGTGGGAATAGTGAAAAGACAAACTTTTCTCCGGCATAAATGCCACCTAGCATATCATGGCCTATGAGGGAGGAAAGGCTGCTTCCAGAAACAACACCATGTCCCCTTGATCTCCAGTTCCTTGACTTATTTTTAAAAAGCAGGCCACATCCCCTTATCATGATGCATTGTTTATACTTGGCTGCTGAATTCTTAGGCATTTTGGAAAAGCTAGCTCTGTTAGCCACATGACAGACGGGAAAAGCATCAGTACCTGACTCATGTGTGGGTCTGTTACAGGCCATCTGTGGAGAAAGCTCTTTCACTTGAATGGAGATTACACAGCTATTAAAAAGTAAGAAACCCCTGAAGGATTCTGGTTTCCCCATCAAGACTGTGGTCTGCACAGCAGTCAGAACTTTACCTTTACCTTTACCTTTGGGGATATTCCAACCTCACCTAACTCTTCCACTGGTTTTCTCCTCAGAGCTCCATGAACCTCCCTCCTGACAAGGCCCGTCTCCTGCGGCAGTATGACAATGAGAAGAAATGGGACCTCATTTGTGACCAGGTGAGGTGGGAATAGTGAAAAGACAAACTTTTCTCCGGCATAAATGCCACCTAGCATATCATGGCCTATGAGGGAGGAAAGGCTGCTTCCAGAAACAACACCATGTCCCCTTGATCTCCAGTTCCTTGACTTATTTTTAAAAAGCAGGCCACATCCCCTTATCATGATGCATTGTTTATACTTGGCTGCTGAATTCTTAGGCATTTTGGAAAAGCTAGCTCTGTTAGCCACATGACAGACGGGAAAAGCATCAGTACCTGACTCATGTGTGGGTCTGTTACAGGCCATCTGTGGAGAAAGCTCTTTCACTTGAATGGAGATTACACAGCTATTAAAAAGTAAGAAACCCCTGAAGGATTCTGGTTTCCCCATCAAGACTGTGGTCTGCACAGCAGTCAGAACTTTCCAGAAGGCGTCAATATATGGGTGCCTCAGAGCGGGTATGATTCCAAGTAGACGTTTGGAAACAGATCTGGCATTGCTGTGCAGATATTCACACCTTTAGGCAGCATGGATGGATGTTTGATCCTCACAATATTTTGGATTACTGTCCCCACAATTTCTTACCAGTGACTGTGCAACCTGAGGTTGATGAGGGGTGTTATAGGTCAAAATATTTCAAGTCTTAGTGGTTTCTAAACATGACTCTGTTAGAAGGCTTACTCCCATAGGCGAAGAATCAATGTATTAAAGCAGTAGTGGCTTCCCATACCACAGTTTGGGAAAGTTATTCTTTTAGATTACAATTCCTATTGGGGGATGATGGGAGTTGCAGTCCACATTCCCCCCCTCCCAATAAATGTCACTGGAGTAAGTACCCATTGTTTCCCACAGTTGCTTACATTTGCCCCTCAGTTAATGGCAACTGTAGTCCAACAACATCTAGAAAGGCTATAACCTTTTTTCGATATAATTGTCAGTCTGAACCTTTGTGTCTTTGCTGATATAAGTCCCTCAGAGTTTGGCAGGTCTTACTTCCATGTTAGATGTGCTTGAAATGGCAATCTTATATTGAAAGGCACAGGCTTTTGTAGCATCTGAGCAGGAGAAAGGGCCATGGAGCAAGCAGCTAAGAGTGTATCTGGATGTAACAGAGGCTTTCCTTCCAAGCTTCTTAGAGGCACAGGACATAAAAAGAGCATCTGGTGTTCAGATTACAAGGAAGGGCAAAACCAGCAGGAAGAAATACAGTGCAAGAGTTCACAGAGAGAGGGAGAGGCTTGCCATGTTAATAAATCAACGGTGGGGTCCTTTAAACTGTCGTGACCCAGGCCAGATTTGACTCACGGTGGTTTCAAAGTCTTCTTGGTTTCAAAAGCATTCTCTCCCCTGACTCCCCTCCCTTCCTTCTTTTTTCTTCCCAATGTGAAATAGGAAAGATTTCAGGTGAAGAACCCACCCCACACATACATCCAGAAACTGAAGAGCTTCCTTGACCCTGGAGTCACCCGCAAGGTAAGGCCCTCAGAGGGATATAATTCTGTTTATAGAAAATGTCAAGCGGATTGTGGAGTTGCAAAGCAGCACTTTCCATGGTACGTTGATGCAGGGTCGGTCCCTCTGAGTGAACTGACTGACTGACTGCCCAGTCAAGCGGCAGAGTCCAGATTCAGGCCTGGGGTCAGGACTGGTTGTGTATCACATACATAATTCTGCTTTCCCACAGAGAGGGAAAGCCAAGGGGCTCAGGAAGAATAGGTAGGGAACTTTTGTGAAAGATCCTCCCAGTATCTGCCACCTGAGGCAATTCCTTTGCTCTGGCCACAAATAGGGCCGGTAGCTCTGAGTAGTGGTATTCCTATAAAGAACGGGGGGAATGGTAGAAGAAAAATGGATGATAAGACATGAATCAGAAAGTTCTGATGTATTTAAGCTGAGAGTCAACCCAACCTTTGTGTATCCAGAGTTGGTTGTGGAGGAGAATGGTGCCTGGATTGTACCCCTGTCAGTAATGTGGGGTCTCTATGCTTACAGAAGTTCCGTCGGAGGGTTCAGGAATCCACCAAAGTCTTGAGGGAGCTGGAGATCTCTCTGAGGACCAACCACATAGGGTAAGTCATGGGTGGCCACCCTTTCTGACTCCTGTGCTATATGCTGTGCCTGATGCTGCTCTAAGGTGTGGCACATATTGGTCGCTCCTCAAGACTTGGGTTCCTTTTACTGCATGCCTGGTGAGCTGAGGAGGAGACAACACCGAAGAGGCAGGTGGGTTTATAGGCCTTTTGCCAGAACCCAACCCACTGGCCTTCCTGCTTGTGATCTACACATGTGGAGCCCATGGGTGTCCCATTTTTCCAAGACAAAAGAAAGTCTACCATGGCCATTACTTGGGCATACCTTTTTCTGCTTTCTGAATTGGCCCAAGACATTTTGGTGCCTGAGGTGAGGGATAAGACAATGCTTATCCCAGACTAGTAGAGGAATCTTGCATCTTCCTTCTTCCCTCCCTCCCTCATTATATTTTTGTATCTCGCCTTCCTCCAGTGAGTTCAAAGCAGTTTTACATGACTGCCTTCCTCCTCATTTTTATCCTCACAAAAACCTTGAGAGAGAGGTCAGGTCAGGTCAGGTTGAGATAATGCAGCTGCCTGAGCATCTCAGAGCTTCTGCTCACAAATCTGAAATGGAAGAATCCTCTGGTCTCCAAATTTGCCACAAGCACAGTGGTGAATTCTCCCCACCCCCTGTTGTGGCCAAAGAGCTGATAATGGGGACCAACAGCCAGCTGCTCTGTTTCTGGGAACGTGAATGTGGGGCCTGAAGCAGGATGCCATTCAAACTGTTTGGAATGGAAAGTACGGCAACTAATTTCCGTAGTACAATGCAAGTAACTGTCAGAGAAAAAGCAGGGGAATTAAGGAAAGGAAACAAGGGAGTTGATAAATGGATAAAACAGATAAAAATGCTTTACTGTAAAAGGTTATGGCTGGACTAGGATAACATGGAAGTCTATGGGTGCCCTGAGCTCTTCGCTTGACTACAAGAAGGCAAAACCTCTGAGTTCCAATCCTACCAGCCTTATGGGTCACACAGCTTATTTTCACTTGGCGGGAGGAACCATCTTAGTCCCAGATGACCCACAAAATGTCAGTAGCTCTGATCTTGGTGGCATCTATACCAGGGTGGGCAACTTTGACATCTCTGTGGGCTAGTGTGTGTTTTAAGTGACATCAAGTTTTGTGTGTTTTAAGTGACATAAAGGAACTAATTGTTAGCAATTCTAATAGGCATTTCAATGTAAGTGAGATATTTAAGGAGAGATTTTACCAGTTCTACACCTCCAGTATGTTTTCATGGCTGAGCAGAGATTTGAACCCAGGACTTCACTCTGTCCGCTAACTCAGCATCTCTTTCTTCTTATGGTTCATTAAATTACTCTGTCCGCTGCACCACACCCAGCATCTCTTTCTTCTTATGGTTCATTAAATAACCGGAGACAATGTGAGCGTACCATTGCAGTTACCCTGTGAGTATGTAATGTAAGAATGTAATCTGTCAGGCAGGAGGAACAGTAAACACTTTATATTCCTATTAGGCTTCATTTCCCTAGAGCTTAGAAAAGTTACTTTTTTGTACTACAACTTCCAGGATTTGTCACAATCATAACTAATGAATATGCCGGTCAGCCAAAGATGAAGGGATAAAAATGCCTCACTGTAGAAAGATTAAAAGAATGGAGAATCTTTATACAACTTCTGTATTTGTGGCCTGATAATTCAGAAGGCAGTGCAGTTCTTAGCAGCAATTTTGCTTTGCCACTCAAAGGATTTCCATCAGATGTTAGGACCATCACTTAATCGTGTAGTCCCTCCTGGGTTCTTGAGACATTTTGCCAGAAATTGCATGCTCCTAATGAAGTGTTTTGTTTGAAATGGGTTAATGATTAAGAGACTGGCCTCCTATTGAACTTCTCAAGGGATGCAGGCGATGATTATAGTTTGCTTTCTATCCCATCGGTTCGTGCACGCATGTGCCAGCATCTTTAGGCTGTTTTCTTTTTCTTGAGTGCCCAAGGGGTGGGGGAAGGAACTGTGGAGTAAAGAAGGGTGACAGGGAGGGAGTGGTGCCCACCCAGTACCCCTTTCATTCTGAAGCCAAAGGGCGCCTCAGCTGCTGATTCATTTATTTGCCTCCTGAGCCAGGAGCCTGAGGTACTGCCTTCTTCCTTCTTGGTTCTCATTAACATGTACTCATGCAAACTGGGCCCGGAGGGGAGCATGGGATTCCTTTTTCGCCCTCGTACTGTCACCAGCTTCCGCTGCAATTATATAGATTTGCATCAGTGGCAAGGCTGGGGGCCCAGAGGTGAACCTTGCAGTCAAAATGCAATCATTTTACTTTTACTTCTTTACTTATTAGCCACATATATGGGGCTTTTCTCCAGAAAGTTCAGGGGCAACATGCATAGCTCTCCTCCTTCCTTTTTATCCTTGCAACAGTCCTGTGAAATAGGTTAAGGTGGGAAAGGATCACAGGCTCAAAGCCACCCAGGAACTGTCATAGATATCCCAAAGCCCAGTTGAATATTCTTAACTCTGAGGTTCCCAATCCTGGGTCCCCAGATATTATTGGACTGAAACTCCCAGAAGCCTTCACCACTAGCTGTGCTGGTCACGATTTCTGGGAGTTGTAGTCCAAGAACACCTAGGTTACCCAGGGTTGGGAACCACTGCTCAAATCATTGCACATACTGTCTCTTCATGTTGGACCTAAGACTGCCACATAGTGAGAAAAAGTCATATCTAGAAGCTGCAGATGGGCAAATTGCAAATGGGCATGATCCAGCCAAAATTTTCATAGGGAAGCTAACTGCATGCTTTTCTATCTCCCATTTTAAGTTAACAGGACTTTCAAATGCTCAGTTTTGAATTAACCATGTGCTGTCTCTTGTGCTGTGTGGATTAGGGCAGAGGGTTTGAGCAAAGGATTGAGCTGGTGCAGTTCAGAGAGGGGAAAAATGGTTTCCTTGCTTGACTTGGTTGACCCACTTTTGTTCTTATTTTTCCCTTCTTGGTTGCAAATGTTATTTGCGAATAAGCTGTTTCTGCACAAATCTGGTGACATCGTCATGGTGATAGCAACCTAGAACTGGTTGTCTGTATTAAAGGGTTAGCATAAACAGAAGGAACATAAATTAATCATTAATAATACCACCCAGAATAGACTATCTGTCTAGATGGGCAGGGCATACATACATGCATGCATGCGTGCGTGCGTGCGTGCGTGCGTGCGTGCGTGCGTGCGTGCGTGCATGCGTGCGTGCGTGCGTGCGTGCGTGCTACATACATACATACATACATACATACATACATACATACATACATACATGTGGATTTAAAGGCAAACTAAATGGTGGAAGGAGCGGACTTGCTCTCCCCTAGGAGTTTTCAGGCATTACGTATTTTCTGGACTTTGCTGTGCAAGACCTGAAGATGATAAAATGGCTTCAAAAGGGAGTTAGAGAGCTTCATGGAGGACACATATCCATGTGGCTGGCTGGTAGATTTTGGGAAAGGTGTCCCTAAAAAGTAACTTTTCTAAACTCTGGCCACTAGTCGTGATGTATACTGTATATGGGATTACTATATAGAGAGAGGCTGTCTGCTCCTCAGTGGCCACCAGGTTCCTAGGTGGAGTAAAAGATATAAGAGAGGTACTGCCTTAAATTCTTGACTGTAGGCTTCCAATGGGCATCTAGTTGGCCATTTTGGGCAGCAAGATTAGGTGGATGATGAGCCAAACGGGATATTTGATCCAACCCATCAGGACTCCTCTTATATTCAGTCTGTCCTCTGAACCCATAGAAATAAGCTTAAAATTGGGGCTGGCCTTGACATTTCATTCCTGGAACAGAAGCAAAGCAGCAATTGGTGCACTCCCCCATGGCAAGCCGTGGATGACCCAAAACTGATTAGTTAGGTGCACGCACGCACGCACGCACGCGCGCACGCACACACACACACACACACACACAATCTCATAAGTACCTCTCTCCTTCTCTGGCTATAAAATACCATGTCAAGTTCAATGACCATGTGTTGTTCTTTCATGAGACCCAGAATCTGCCACTGAGGGAAACTTCACAGTCTGACCCATGATAGGGCCCTTCAGGAAGTGGTCGATTGAAAGAAAGCATTGAAATAAGTCACACCAGGAAATATATCAGAGGGGAGAAAGGCCAGCGTGTGTTTGCCTGTACTAGCTTGGAGTCTGCAATTCCCAGTCTTAGGCCTCCAGAAGTTATTAAAATACTGTATAGCTCTCAGAATACTAATCTGGAGTCCCAGTTTTGAGGAGATCCTTCACACTTGTCAGTAGGCTGAGAAGATGAACTGTGACCTTTTGGTCTTCTGTACTCAGACACTGCCCTTTGAGCAAGGATGAAACTCTTATTTGCTTCTTTGCCTCAAAGTGCAGATAGGGCTGTAGAAGGCAGAGAGGTCCTTTTCCTCTGAAAAGCGGCTGTTGTAAGCTGGGAAGCATATCCCTCTCACCACCATCACCATCACCTGTCTGGGCTCCAGCTGGAAGGGAAACACAGGCAAGAGCAGGAAATCAAACTGTTCCTGTCCTTAGATTCTGATCGCATCTGGGTGGGAGTTCCTCAGGATGGCTGAGGCTGACAAACAGAGTGGTGCTTAGTCAGCAGTACCGTTTGGGCTAGGCCTGAGCAATGAATGAATAGCAGTCTGGATTCAAGAAGAAAGAAGCAGAGGCATGATGCTAGATGCTGAGGTGGAACTCACACACCTACTCACACAAGAAGGGGAATACACTATAAAATTATTCAGAGAATGGATAAAGAGGGTAGAGGAAAGCGCTTTTCACAGAACCAGGGGACATCCACTCCAGTTGAGTGTTGGGAGAGTGAAAACAGACAAAAGAAAATATTTCTTGACCCAACATGTTGTTAGTCTGTGGAACTCCTTGCCACAGGATGTAGTGATGGCATCTGGCCTAGATGCCTTTAAAAGGGGATTGGACAGATTTCTGGAGGAAAAGTCCATCACAGGTTACAAGCCATGATGGGGATGTATAATCTCCAAGCTTA